ATGTGGAAGGTAATAATTATAACTCTTCTTTTCCTTTACTTTTCCGTTTACTTCATTAACGAAAATCACAATTCCAGATTCGTTTCGCGTTTTTATTACATCCTGTAGATACTGTATTGTCATACTGGAGCCGCGGGACTCTTAGCGGGTTGGGATTCTAGTACCACCCTAGCTTATCCCCTTAGCAGCCTCCTATTTGACGTAAGTTTCACCCCTTAAGGTCGAACCATATACAGCTTGCCCACATTCCTGTAAAAAAATATACTTCTGGCACTGTATTCACCTTCGCATGCTGTGTGAGATATGCCTCTATTTCTGTGGCATCCCACCTGTGTCCACTAAATTATTCCTTCTTATTTATGGTTCTGCTTCTTTGTCTCAAGCAAAGAAACTGGCTTAAACTCTTCTACATTCAGAGTACGTTCCATAAATACATAAATAAAGTTCCATAATGTTACTTTTAACGATAGTAACTAACTATGAATTTTCCGTCTCCAGCGAGTCCTTGCCTTAGCAACGATTCAGTGCTTCAGTGAAGGCCCTTAGGTCTTCCTGTCCAATTTGCACTTTTCCCTGGTACATAAACTGTAGCAAAGTTACTTTAAACGATAGTAACTATTATACTTTTTTCCGTCTCCAGCGAGTCCTTGCCTTTGCAACGATTCGGCCGCTTCAGTGAAGGCCCTTAGGTCTTCCTGTCCAATTTGCACTTTTCCCTGGTACATAGACTGCAGCAAGCCTCCTAGTGTCTCGCAAGTTACGTTTGTCAAAATCACTCTAGGACGTTGACAACGATTCGACTCAAATTTTCTTTAAATATAGGCCACAGCCCAAAGAACCACTTTACGTGCTTCTATGCATTTTCCATGCGATGCAAGATCTACGCCTACAAAATCTTGACTCTTCCATAATGAATCCATTCCCGAACTCATATGTTTGTGGAAATCATTCCACAATAGTGAAAAGATTTTCTGACGCCACATCCCATTTAAATTTTCTTTAAATATGGGCCACAGCCCAAAGAATCACTTTACGTGCTTCTATGCATTTTTCTTGCGATGCAAGCTCTACGTCTACAAAATCTTGACTGTTCCATCATGGATCCATTCCCGAACTCATATGTTCGTGGCAATCATTCCAAAATAGTGAAAAAGATTTTCTGACACCACGGTCAATTATCTTCCAAAGCTCCATTAAATTCTTTTCCCTCTTTTATATGTCCATCTCAGTATGATGTGCCAATTTATGAAGTTAACCAACAATTGTATAAAGAATTAAATTTTTGTTAAAATAAAGAACTTAGAAATATACGCTGCCGAACTTAAAACAAATCTGTATAAAATATTAAATAATCAAATCAACTAATAATCGATCAATCAATCAATAGTCAAATATCAAATAAGGTGTTGGTATTTTTTTTGAAAAATTAAGTTCTATTAAATTCTTTTCCTTTTTACAAATGCTACGCTATTTATAAATCCAAATATCCCAAATTACTTTAATTAATTAGTCAACCAAAATCATATCTAATTTTTCAGTGTATATTACTTGACCAAGCGCGTTTAATATTTTTCAAACACACGTCGAGCAAATAGTATCATATTTCACTTTCACTTGATACATTAAACAAAGAATTTGATAATATGTAAACAGTTAGTAAAATAATACCCAAAGAATTTATATTTTGCGCTTTTTGAAAGCAATAAACTCGTACACTCAAATGAACTTGATCTTGACCTAATTACTTAAATTCTTTATATTCACTACTAAATAAACAATAATGCTTATTTCTTTAAATAATTATTATATTCTATTCCTATATTCGACTGATAATTAATAATTTCCTAAATTCGACTGATAATTTACGAAGTTAAAAACAATTATATTGAGAACATCATATAATGTGTTAGTATGTATTTTTTGAAAAAATTTGTACTTGTCATCTCTTCACATATATCATAAAAGCAATTCACCTATCTTAATATTTAGGATTCTAGGTTTCTAAGAAGGGATCGATATGAGGCCATTCTCCAGTGATACAAGACAAAAAAAAAATCTACTATATATGAATAATTTGTGTAAAACTCCTAACAAGTTTATATAACAAAGAGAGAAAAAGGATTTTCTTCCAGAAAAGGGAGTCCTGCACTCCACACAATATTTACTGGATACCTCACTGTTTCTTTAATCTGTTGTCGTCTTAGGAAAGAGAAGAAAAAAAATTGGAATGTCACTGGCGAAATGAAACGATGAAGGCTTCTTATAGCTACAAAACTTGCAAAAGTTTACAAGGATACTGAAGAAGTGACTTAATTATCCCTATTTACCGAAATTCCCCCAAACCGGGACCGACTGTCACCAATGTAATAATCTGAGGCGAGAGCAATAAGGGAAACGGGAGAGGGGTTAGGGAACTTCTACTTAAGGGTCCTGTAAGAGGCAGAAGAGAGCGAGAGAGTGAAGAGCTTGACAGTACAACTAATATAATTAATAGGGTTATGTATAATGAAAATCTGTTACCTTATGTGTATATTATATGCCATAACTAGGTCAATTGTTATACTTTGTATAATTTAAATGTATAAGTTAACTGTATTAATTATCCCTTATTTAATTTGGAATATATAATAATTATCTCGAATAATTATTATCTTTTCTATGCTACTTATTGTTCCATTATCCCTTTATTCCAACTTCTCACTCACTTGCTACGCTTACATTACAATACATTCATGAGGCTGCAAGTGAAGCTTGGGGTTATAAAGACAAACATGAAACGAAAAATCAAAAATGGTGGCCGGAGAATATGCAAACGTTAGTATACAAGAAGAAAAATGCTTATCAGAAATCAATGCCAACGAGAAAAGAGGAAGATTACAAGATATATAAAAAATTATATCGAGATGTAAAAAGAGAAGTAGTGAAAAGTAAAAATGAGATGTGGGATCGAAGATGTGCAGAGGTGGATAGGTATATGGGTGGAACAAGAGTTGGGCAAGCGTGGAAGGTGATACAAGTCTCTCCGGAGGGAAGAAAAGGAAAAATCTAACTTACAGTTAATAGATCTGAAACAGTGGAACATCATGATGAGGACTTACTGACAGAGGATAGATGTAAATTCCAAGAAATCAAAATGGACCAAAAATGATGATTGGAATGTTGGATACATCAGCTCAATATTAAAGAAAGGGGATAAACGCAAATGATCTAATTATAGGAGAATCACTTTTATCAGCTCAGTGGTGAGGTTATACGGTCGAATAATAAAAGAAAGAACAGATTCAGAATACGAAGACATAGAAGAACAAAATAGATTTCGAGCAGGAAGATCGTGTACTGATGATATATTCGTTTTGCAGCAGGTAATCGAAAAACGGAAAGCAAGGAATCTATCTACTCACCTATTGTTTCTAGATTTAGAGAAGGTATATGATACGGTAATATTGAAAAAAACTGTTTTAAACATTGACGAAAGTAGGTCCCAGTAGAGAGTATGTGGATGCTATCGCAAATATATACAAAAATGCAAGAAGTGTCGTTAAAGAAGGATACTTTATATCTGAGTAATTTCCAATAACAAAGGATGCCATCTATCTCCGACCTTATTTAAAATATATATTCAATCATCGCTAGAGCAGTGGAGGAAACAAGTATTCGGAATGGGAATACACATAGGCGGTGGTAAATGTCTAACAACTTTATTTTTCGCAGATGATCAGGTAGTCGTAGCGAATGATGAGGAAGACATGAACTCCATGTTTAGAAAGCTAAAGAAAGAATATAAAAAATGGGGCCTCAATATGAATATGTCAAAAACAGAGTATCTTAAAATAGGAGATGATGAAGAACATCCAGAGTTAGAAATTAGAAACAAAAAAACATGCAATGAATATAAATATCTCGGATCTATAATATCTAAAGAAGGCACTACCAAAAGAGACATCGAAAACAAAAGGGAAAAAAGCGGAAAAATCTAAATTCTTTACTATGGTCCCAAGATATTAGACAAGAAACGAAATTGACAATCTATCGAACCTTGGTAGAGCCTAGTATGTCTTATGGCGAAGAAGTTTGGCAGATCACGAAAAAGATAGAAAAAGAATAGAAGTAGTAGATCATATCAGGAATAAAGATATTAGGAGGACAAATACTTAATGAGACAAATGTTAATTCCAGTGTAGACAGAATTGAAATGAGACAACTAGTGTGGTATGGTCACGTGAAGCGAAAGAATGAAGATATAATGGCCAAAGAAAGATTTAAATTACATACCACAACAATGAAGAAGAAGGGCAAGGCCTTCAGTTGCCTGGGAAGAAAATGTACGGCACAAAATGATAGATAGAGCTATCAAAGAAGACGAATGGATGGACAGAAAACGATGGCGGTCGAAATGCGAGAATTTAAAAGGTGCTTGGTATACCAAATGCTGATTAGTTTTAACGTGTGTACAAATCATAGTCTTTTATCAATGTATTTGTTACAATCTTAGTGCGGCAACTAATTTTCAACAGAATTTTCAAGTTTTTTTACTACCTTTCCGTAAGTCAGTTATTTGAATTATATACATTTTTTACACTTATATTGAACAATATGTACCGACATAGCGAGCAGGATTTGTGTTAATATGTTTCTTTTCATTATATTTAAGAAAAAAATGTTCACTGTTTGTGTAAAAGATTGTATTGTGTAAATTATTGTGTAATATATAAATAAATATTTTGTGAGCTAAAATTTAAATAGATTAAGATAACCAGGGCAATGGAAGCAGTAATTGATTCATTTAATCCATTATACATTTAATAAAACAGTACCACCATGCATATTATGTAAACGAACTCAAATCTAAAGACCAGCATATTCAAGGAGAATATTTTGAAAAAAAAAAAGCAAAATAATACTTTTCAACGACTAACTACTGGTTTTTTGATTTAGACTAAAAAAGTGCCCCTCTACGATACGAATGTTACCAGAAATTCTTTTTTAGTTACAAATCTTACCTCAATGTAATGTAGGCCATGTAAATATTTCTGTGGATTCCAGGGAGCAACAAATAATGGACCTTTTACTCGTTTGCAATGCATCCAGTCTTCTTTGTTTATTTTTACCTTTACAAAATCTATTGTCGCTAACGAAAATGCTAAAATTCTTGTTTTAAAAATTAATTATTTTTATATATGCTTAAATGAATATTATTAAAAACGGTAAGTTGTATATCGCCACAATATTATAAAATACATATTTGTGAAGTATATAAATGAATAAGTATTTTTTTTTATAAATCAACACCGGTTTAGAGCTTATTATGCCGTTTGATTGTTTCCTACTTCCATAGTTAGAACACACAAATGGAAATATACTACACAATAATAAGGTCTATATCCGAATGAAATAGGGTATTCATAAAAATTACTATGAGTAAGGTATCTAAGTTGTAGACTAATAACTAGGTGCGTAGATGATGCAGCAAACGATCTCCGGGAGCCTAGCTATAAGAAGATGGCGACGCTGAGCCTAGGACAAGGATGATAGGAACAGCGTGGTTCACGAAACTTGGGCCCAACAAGGGCCTAGGGTGGAGTAGCGCTATTGGATGGTAGTTGTATATAATACGTGAGAGGAAGCTTCCAAAATCTGCATAAAAACTTCCTAGTGGTTATGTAATAGCTACGCTTTTTATATTCATTTTTATGAACATCTCAAAATCTCCTAATATGACTACTTTAGTTCGCTTGGAATAGAATAAACAACATTTAAAAATGTTTATTTTATTCAGGCCAACGGGACGGGACGTCTAACCAACTTGGTCAAAATCATAGAGTCGTAGTAATCTCTGTCATAAATACTGTAGCGATATACCTTTCGTTACTTTAAATAAATGACGTTTTCTACAATAGCTTAATAAAAGAATATACCTTAACATCTGAAGTGCTGTAAAAATAGTAATTTTAAATTTGATACCCGAATAATCGAATGGATAATATGATAAATATTGTAACATATTACAACAAGGTGTAGTACTACGAAAATTTACAAAAATTCCGAAACTGTACTTGTATAATTCAGAAAATGGTTATAATATTTCGACTTCTAAGAAAGTCTAAACATTCATTATCGCCTTGATCAATTTACTTGATGTTAAAAAGTACACACCAAAAATCTCGAAATTTTTAACAAACAGAAGACATCCAGATATATTATACTACAGCTGACAACATACCACAAACGAATTCGGAACTGTTCTCAAAGTTCAAGGTAGAGCACGTCAGATAGTGCCTTGCCTTCAAACCGATCATCCATATAATAAGTCTTCTTCTTCTTTTGGTGCCTATTCGTTTCGAATATCGGCAATCATTCTTTCTATAATTATTTTATTAACTGATGCTTTAAATAGAATAGTTGTTGTTGTGGAGAACCATTTCCTCAGGTTGTTCAACCATGAGATTCTTCTTCTCCTTTCCGAATACTTTGCCCTGAAGCATTATTTTCAGTAATCAGTATTTAGTGTCATTTCTCATTATGTGTCCGAGATACTCTAACTTTCTCCTTTTAATCGTATACATCACTTTTTTTCTTTCCCCATTCTTCGTAGCAGTCTCGTCGGTTATCTTGTCCGTCCATGATATCCTTAGGATTCTTCTGTATAGCAATATCTCGAAGGTTTCAAGTTTTTTCTCCACCGCTTCAGTGACTGTCTAGGATTCAACTCCGTAGTATAATATCGAGAAGATAGAACATCATAGGAGCATTTTTAAAAAGTTTGGCAATGTTGTTGAATGCACTCCTAGCTTTCTCTATTCCACATTTTACTTCTTTATTCTTGAATAAGTATTCTAAGCATAAAGGAAAAGTTCTTCAATCTGGGTATAATCAATGCACATGCACCAACCTAAGAAAAGAAAGAGGAAGAAAAGGAACCAATTTGATGAAACATTGGAATCTGCTTCCAATTCTTATGAGATAAACTATGCAACCAGCAACCCTGGATCTTCAAGAAATTAAATACATTATATACTTGTGACTGATCGCTTCCAAACTGCTAAAAACACTATATTTCCACAAGCAGATATTGAATCTGATCACCAACTCCTTGTGGCAGATATTAAACTAAGGTTAAAATGAATTCAGCGACAGAAAGCAAAAAAACATAAGCACACAGAAGAACTTAACCAGAGAACGTAGACGTTGGCAGTAAAGAAATCAAAAACATGCAGAAAATCAGATCCTACGAAGCAAAGAGTTGGCTAAAAGCACTGGTTGATCAAGAACCATACATACAGCTTTATGCAACAAGAAACTTTTATAGAATGTATTCAGACCTGGTCAGTTAACAATAGATTAGATATTCATATTAATACAAATCCTTGGAAAATGTTATATATGACTTATGCAATAACTGAAGAAAAATACATAGTAAACATATCGAGTATGTAGACATATTTAAAGTAAAAAATCAAAATAGCTATTCTGAAGAATTCAACACACATACACAGGACTAAGACAGGGTGATGTGCTGGCGTGGCCCCTTTTTAACATTGTGCCAGAAAGAGTTACAAGAAATCCAGAACTGAACAGCCAAGGTAAAATATTTAATAAATCTACCAAGATTTTGCCCTCACGCTTTGGACCTTGTCGCAAGCAGACCCTTCACTTCAAGATGTTTGTCACACTTTTAAATGGAGTACATAATATGGGTCTAATAATCAACGAAATCAAGATAAGGCTCAGGGTATCAGGGACAGATTATAGAATCGGAAAAATGAGACCAAATTTTAATATTGGTAATCATAGTTTTGAAGTGATGTAACAGTTCTATTACCTAGGAAGCATGGTAAACACCACGAACATAATATCGGAAGAGATAAACCGAAGAAAGCACTCACGAAAACTATTAATTATTTATTGATTTACAGAAAACACGTAGAGATAAAAATGAAAATATGCCCCCACGATTTTTTTATAAAATATAATAAAGGAAAGGGACTTAATACAGTTGTGAGAATAAATAGTATTGCTAAAATACCGAACGAAATTGTTAAACATTTGCACTTAGTAATACCAAGACTGCTATTTATACAGAGCACATTCCTTTCACCAATAATTGGCTGCTTTAGTGGTAAATGGTGCAGTTGGCATCACGCAATTACAACGACATGGGAGATGGAGTAGTTCCACTGAAGACTAGACAGATTCAAATAAATATTTGAACAAACTAAAAACAACAAAATAAACCAGTCACAGTAACCAAAAATTTAATAGCACTATATTTCTAAGGGACCAGGATTTATTATTAAAGACTATACAAACTTCACATTCAGATTTAAAATCCCAAATAATAAGTGAATTGCAGTAACTAAGTTGATTTCAAAATAGTTTCAGTTTATTAACTAATTGTAGAAAAAATGTCATATTACCTTCAAGATATTTCTTACTTTCTAACAATAATGTATAACTTTTCAGTCTTACTATGTAAAATAAGTTACCTAATGTGTGTAGAATTTTTTATAACTTCTATATTTTCCCTATTTGGATTCATAAAAAGTGCATGTTTAGGATTTGTTATTAAAACTATAGGCCAACTTCTATGATTTATGTCCTTAAAAGATAAAAGTCCATGGTCAATTGCCAACAATCTATACCTACAATATTAAAAGAAAGTGATATTCAGTCTCTGACTGGCGATATCTTAATAATAATAAATATTAATGGTCATGATACGCGTCTGGGATTTTGTCTTTCTGACGTTTTTTTATGCTGTTACGGCAAAAGAATTTCTTCAACCAGAGTTATGCTGGTCACTATTTTTTCTCGAAATCACACACATAGATAAAACAGCAGTAAAACATGATTCCAGACCTTTTTAGCAGTATGTAATATCTCAGCGATTAGTAAAAGTAAATCGCGATTAGTAAAGATATATCTCAGATAGGTATACATAATATAAAACAAACAGAACAAGCTTTTCTCAACAAAACTACTCTATTAATTTCGTACAAGTACTAATAGGTATAGTCAACACAAACATTCCTACCACTCCTCATAAATATCTGAAATAAACTTATTGTTGGAGTTGCAGACAATTTTTACCACTAACAATGCAAAACCAGGCAAGACTACGGGTCCAATTAACATTCAAGTTAAATTGTTGAAAACGTTAGCTGATTGTAATGTAGAGATCACCCGAATTCTCAACCACATATACGAAGAAGGCAACATCCTGGACGAATGGCTTAAATCAGTATTTATACCTCTACAAAAAATAATAATCCCAGAATTTGTAATGACTATAAATGCATGTCTTTTGGATGTTATGTCTCACCCTTGAAAATTCTATTAAAAATTGTTCAAAACAGGACATACAACACATGTGAGGAGCAGATAGATAAAACGCAATTTGATTTTAGAGGTGGCGTGAGTACAAGAAAAGCAATATTTGCAATGACAGTCCTTTCGCAGTAATTTTTTATGCTTAATACACTTTCGAAAAACCCTTGGCCGAGTACACTATATAAAATTTATAGATGGACTAAAAAATCTCAATTTGTCAAAAGAGACATTGAAATCAAAAGGGCTATATATTGGAACCAGAAAAGCAGTAGATAAGGTGAACGAGATAAAAACAAATAATATACCGATTCCGAGAGGGTGCAAGAGTGCGTCTTGTCTCCGACGCTTTTCAACGTATGCTCACAGATCATCTTCAAAAAAGATGATGGAAACGAAAAGAGGAAATAAGAATTACCGGCGAAATACTAAACACTATATGCTTTTCAGACGGCATCGTAATGATGGCTAAGAGTATGGAGGAGCTGCAAACTTTACTAGATATAATAAATAATCAATCAATCCAAATGAAACTTTATATTAACTTTGATAAGACCAGCATTATCATATCGAACGGCCCAACAAATAATAAACAACTAAACCTGTGTGGGCAGCAAATAAAGAGATAGGAAAAATATAAATATCTGGGAGATACTATTATATCAACTGTCAATTGGATCTAGGCCAGATCAGGGTACGAATAGATATGACAAGGGCAGCGTTCTTAAAATTTCATCTATTATTATACGATAGTTAGTTAGATAGTTATTAAAATAATGATTATGATATAGAAGGTAAAATGTATACGTAGAATCTGTTTTTGTATTATTGAAAGCCCTTTTCTGTTCTGCTATACGTTTCGTAAATGTTCTACCAGTTTGACCAATGTAAGTTTTTTTTACTTGTATTTCTACTATTTCTACTAACCAACCAGTACTTGTACTTTAAAGATACGTTAAAGTACTAGCACTCTCTACCAAACCTCCAGAATAATCGCCCATAAAGAATTTTCTAAGCAAATACTCTTTAAACAATTTTGGATAAACCACTTAGGTTCCGTTATATACTTACACTCTATTGTCCATCCAATCTCCGAGTTCAAGTTCCAGAAATCCTGCTTTCTGTAACGTGTACATTTGTGGAACCAGTCCGCCAAGTTTATGTAAATGACCACATACATAAACCAATCCTTGTTTGTGTCTGCCAAGTATATCTCTAACATTGTCGTCAGAAGTGGATACTATGCAAGAGGTAGGAAAATGTCCGAAATATATTGTATAGTTGTTAGGACTGGCTTCAGTTTTATCAATAAGAGCATTGATTTCGTTTATTTCTACATCATCAAGTAAGCCTATAAAATTAAAGGGCCTTTTTGGACCTAAAAGTATACAATATTAAATGAACATTGATGTTTTCGACATTCGAATTTCAAAATTGCTTTTGCGTCGGAAGTGGTGAAAATTGGTTTTAAACAATTTAATTGTGTTAATGATTATAAATCGTAAACGAACAAATATAAATCATTTTTACAAAATGAAATTTGTTCCCTAAAAAAACCTACAAAATGATGTCTGGTAAATCTTGATCCAACAATAAGAACTCTCCGCTGCATTTTGAGTAAAATAACTTTAGCATGCAAAAATAAAATTAGTTATGTTATTTTCCATACTTTCATTGACCACATACAAATTATTTTCTAAATTTATGTTCTTGACATAAGCTAAGTAGAAAGGTAGCCACTTTGACCTGTGACCTCCGCAGCTTGAACCGTAGTCGCATCCGCTTCGCTCATATAATTATTTTATACCGCTTCACGCGTTACTCTCATAGTTATATGTTTCTAGACGCCCTTTAAATCTGCTTTATGACATTAATAAATAATGATGAAATGATTCAGTAAGAACAATTGTGTAGACGAACTTTTAAAATAAATTTTCGTTTGTCCGAATATTTAGTTGTTAGGGCTCGTAGTATGTGTATTCCTGCCGAAAGAAAAAATAAAGCAGTGTCTGTTCTTCAAAGAGACGCTACTTTATGCACGTTGTTTATCCAGAATCATATTTAAAGATTAAGAGAACGTTTTAAAATTATAATATGAAAAACACGCATAGTTTCATAGTAAATTCATTTACAGTGTGGGAGTAGTTAAACCCACATTATGAAACGTGGGTTTAATTAATTTTACATACCTGGTTCCAAACATGCATCGATTCCAATAAATGTATATACTGCATTTGCCTTTTTTACTTGGTACATGTACGATCTTGGATGTACTTTTCCTTGCATTGAATAATTTGTAAAATAATTATGCTTGGAAGACAACTCTGCCACGTTGAAATTATCTAAAAGAGTACAACTTGTTAAACAACGTTATTGGTACTAATTAAAATCATGCTTTCCCATATTGAATATTAAAAATACGTAAATACTGCTCACTAGATTTTAAAGTGGTTTTGCTAAAAACTAGAAAGAATGGTATAGAACTTAATAGAGGTTATCCGGGCGAGCTATTGTTATAAAATAACATAATTAACAAAATGATGAATAGTGAACCAGAGCTCTCAAATGAAGTGTTGACAAAGTTCAGAAACTACCATCTGGATGTTGTTATTGATTTGAACAGACATTCCAATTACTAGGAAACTATAATGCGATTTTAGAATGGATTCGGTTCCAGCGAAGTGTTAATAAACTTCTAACGATTTTTATCTAGTTAATTGAAAAAATAAATTTGTATGTCGAAATGTCTGCAATAAAGTAGTCAATAACACTTATGCCGGGTCCAGACCAAGCAGACAAAACGAAAACACAATTCTGAAACAAAAACACGATAAATCGGCGACAAAATTTGTCGTCAAAAGACAAAACAAAATTGAGACAAACTGTCCACACCAGAACAACAAAATATAAAAACAAAATTCAGTTGGTGACGTTGTTGTTGTGATTAGTGTTGGTTAACCATGTGGCGTTTTAATAAAGAAAAAAATGAAAATGAAGATTTATTGCTAGGCGCAAGTTGTTTTTTTTTGCTCTCATCATCATCCCAGGTTGCTAAACGAAAACCCAAACGTTTTTGGATTAGACCAAGCCTAAAAATGCGAGAAAGTTGTTCGATAGACAAATTGTTAGTTCAGCTGCGCGCAGATGATATTGGACTAAGTGGTGAAATTCGATCAAGCTTCAAAAATTTTTTAAGAATGTCCACCGAAGATTTTGAGAATCTAATATGTCTTGTTGGTCCTGCAGTTGCAAAAAGACATACTAACTTTAGAAATGCTATAAGTGTAACAGAACGTTTAGCAATCACTTTAAGATTTTTAGCAACAGGTGATTCCTACCATAACCAAAACATTTTGAACTGAAAAGTTTCCCAGCCCCAGATTTTTTAAGTTTCTTGTAGTTTCGTCTTTCTCTAGCACACTGGTTGTTAACATTCTTTATTTTTTTTTCAACATCAATTAGTGGCACATTTAGCGATAAAGAAATTTCCTTTAATGCATCGGCTTTCTTGTAGCGATTTTTATAATCTTTATTTTTAGGGTCCCATAATATCGGATGCTCCCTGTAAATTTCTATTAACTTGCATGTATTTTGTGTATTCCACTTTTTGTCCACCGACATGTTTAGAAAAATACACTAGTATTTATTTATTCACTACACAACAGAAAAATACACTTGATTTTGATAAAAATTGTACATTCTATTTCTCCTACTGCTTAACTCGTTTTGGCACGCACACGCGTCCACACTGCGTCGACAACTTGTCGTCAAAAACACAGACAAAACACAGACCTTTTGATCTTTACCGACCTGAGACGGGACCTGAAAAAGTTTTCAAATCTGCAAACAAAACAAAATTGTTTCAGAAATGTCTCATCAAATGTTTTCGATTTGTCGCCACTTTGTCGCGAAACATGAATGTTTTTGTTTTGTCTGCTTGGTCTGGACCCGGCATTAGAGATACTTCACCAATCAATGTTAATAGAAACATTTAAATACTCCTCAATTTTTTTGGCAGTACAAAATTTTAGGTTGTATTCAGAGGACCAGAGAGGAGAAAAAACCAGAGGAATTTCTTACTGCGTCATCTCTCCTCGAATGTTGGCGATTCAATTGGCTACAGCTACGCGCGAAACAGCGGTTTTGAAGATCTCGGCTGATGTTTTTCCGAGCCAACGTCGCAAGGCCTTTAGACAAAAATTTTGCCTTCTTCCTATTGAGCTTTTCCTCTGAATTGTTATTTTAATGATGAACCGAAGTATTTCGCATCTGTTTCTCCTTATTATATGTCCAATGTACGTTAGTTAATCCTCTTTGATCGTTGGCATCAGTTCCTTGTTCTTCTGCATTCTGTTAAGAACTTCGGTGTTTAAGGTTTTTTTGGTCCAAGGAATACTCAGTATTCTCCTATACATGTACATTTCGAAAGCTTCGATGCATTTTTCTAATGGAGGGTTAAGATTTCAGCCCTCATAGCAATAGAGAAGAATTGGGAATATACAACAGCGCGGCATTTGAATTTGAAGTCTCATGTCTAGATCCCGGCTGATGATTACATATTACAGGTTACAACTAGGACGGCTCTCGGCCTGCATACATCTATTTTGCTTCTCTTTGACAAGCAAAATAGATGTGTGCATCCTTTTATACAGACTAAAGTCTTTGGTTTTTCCTCTCCGAGTTCTAGATACTGCAGCCTTATAAGGCCTTCACACTGACATAAGACGTGCAGAGCGGTTTCCTCTTCTTCTAGACAGAATCGACAAGTATCCTCATCCTTCAAGAATATATGACTCAAATTCTTATTGAACCTACAGTGTTCAGTCAACAGCCCCACTATCACCCTGACTGTCTTTTGATGGTGGGTCAGTATCTCAGCTATTAATTTTGCTAAATGTCCCTTAATGAACTTTCTAACCTAATTTATGTTTTGTAGTGAAATCCCCAGAATTACTCGCTCCATGGCTTTCTGTAATATTCTAGCCTTCTGGTATAATATTTATACATGTACTATGCAGTTTAGCTTTTATATTTATAGAACCTACTGAAATTTCACATTTTCAATAGAATATTTAGAGTTAAACAAAGGATACTAGTCAAAACAAAAGTATGCTGAACCTAGAATACAAAATAATCACATGAAGCTATCCTGAGTAGACAATTGTGTCGAACATTGTTTATTTTCTAACTAAACACTACAAATATCTAACAGTACTATTCAGCCTAATTAATATTACTAACAGTATTCTAGACTGTATGGCTCCACTCCTAATGCAAAAAAATAGTTAAACAAGAGGATGTGTACTCAGAACTAAAAGAGCTTTAGATAGAAGTTTAAGCGTCTGATATTTTACCTCTTATATACCAAGGGTGTCCCTGACTTGGAGGAAGATATAATACGGGCTATTGCAGATGACATTATTGATTATGGTAATCGGAGACCAAAATCCGGCAGGGGAGGACAACCATCAGAACGCAAGGCCTCCTCGGTCGTCAACATGCGAAACCCTTGCACAAAATACCACAAAAAAAAATACTCAACCCTCTCAGATAAAAATAGCTACGTGGAATGTAAGAAGTATGTATCAGCCTGGAAAACTACACAATGTTATTAAAGAGAAGGAGATGCTAAATATAGATATACTTGGGGTTAGCGATGTACAGTGGCCAGGAAATGGAGAGATATCAATAAATAACCACAATATTTATTACACTGGAGGAGACAAAACTGATCATCGATACGGAGTAGCTTTTATCATAAGCAACACTATTAAAAAATCAGTGTTAGGTGTGATTCAAATCTCAGAAAGAATAATAATGCTAAAAATTCAAGCACGGAACTGTAATATTAATATGATCCAAGTTTACGCTCCCACTGCTGATAAGACCGAAGATGAGATCGAAAACTTTTATTTAGAATTGCACAATACAATCAAGTTAACAAAATCTAGAGATATTACTTACATTTTAGGAGATTTTAATGCAAAAATTGGAGTAGGTACAGTTGAAAATATAGTTGGACAGTTCGGACTAGGAACTAGAAACGAGAGAGGAGAAAGGCTCATAGAATTCTGCCAAGAAAAGAATATGGTAATTGCCAATACTTTGAACATTGTCAGAAACCAGATAGACTTTATACTCGTAAATAGCAGATATAAAAACTCTATAACCTCAGTTAAAACTTATCCTGGAGCAGATGTTAACTCAGACCACAATCCGCTAGTGGCTGACGTGAAAATAAAATTAAAAAGAATTGAACTCAGAAAACAACAACCAAAAATTAACGTAAGAATGCTACAAAATGAAGAAATAAACAACGAAATAAAAAATAATGTGAATGTTAATATGCAAAAAACACTAACTGACAACAAACAAATTATGGATGTAAATAAAAAGTGGTGTAATATAAAAAACACATTACTGAAACCAGCTCAAGAAAGTTTAATAGAACATAAATCAGAGGCTAAAAAACACTGGATGACAGAAGAAATACTATTACTGATGGAAGAAAGAAGGAAATATAAAGGAAAAGATCTACAGAAGTATAAAGAAATACAACGAATAATTAAGGAAAAAATCAAAACAGCTAAGGAAATCTATTTGATGAAGCAATGTAAAGAGATAGAAGAACTAGAAACAAAATATGATATGAGAAATATGCACAAAAAAATTAGAGAAGTGACTGGAATGGGTCGAAATAGACAGCAAGGACACATAAAAGACAAAAAAGGAGTACTACTAGTAGATTTACCAGAGAAGTTAAGGCGATGCGATGTGAGGAGTACGTTAGAGAACTTTTCCAAGATGAAAGAGGTGAAATGCAGAAAATACAAGAATTAAATCCTTTAGAGATACAGAAGATCACGAGAGATGAAATCAAATATGCTATCAAAAACTCTAAAGAAAATAAGGTAGCTGGATTAGATGAAATACCAGTAGAACTGTTAAAACTAGTGGAAGAGGACAACTTGGAAGTATTGGCAGATTTATTCAACACGGTGTACGATACGGGAATAATACCACAGGAGTGGCTAAAGTCAGCATTTATAACCATCCCTAAAAAACAAGCAGTAAAAGAGTGCTCTGATTATCGAACACTGAGCCTCATGAGTCATACTTTAAAAGTTCTGCTAAAAATAATACATAAGATAATATACGAAAGGCTAGAGGAGGATATTAGCGAGATGTAGTTCGGGTTCCGAAATGGAATGGGTACTCTAGAAGGACTATTTGCCATCAACATATTAATTCAGCGATGTCAGGATGTAAATGTTGATCTACACTTGTGCTTCGTTGTCTACGAAAAAGCTTTCGATAAAGTAAGACATGAAAAACTAATATCAATACTTATGAACAAGCGCATTGACAGTAAAATCATAAATATAGTGCAAACATTATATTGGAACCAAAGTGCCATAGTTCAAATTGATGGGCAACACTCAGAAGAAATGAGGATCTGTAGAGGAGTTAGACAGGGATGTGTGTTATCACCACTTTTGTTTAACTTATATTCTGAAGAAATTTTCCAAAACACACTCAATAATATCGAAGCGGGAGTCACCGTTAACGGAAAATTAATAAATAATTTAAGATATGCAGAGGACACTGTGATCATAGCAACGAGTATAGAGGATCTACAACATCTTATCGAAAGCTTGAGTATAAATAGTGCTGAGATGGGAATTACTATAAACGCTAAAAAAACGAAGTACATGCTGATTACAAAAAGGCCACAAAATATACATCACCTATTGACAATAAATGGTAACGTGATAGAACAAGTAGAAAAATATCAGTATTTGGGAACTTTGATCAATGAAACCAATGATCATAGATACTGTAGAAATAAACAGACGAATAGAGATTGCCAGATCAGCATTTATACGAATGAAGCCACTCCTAACGTGCAAAAATCTAAATTTGGAGATCAGACTACGTCCCATTCGCTGTTATATATTTTCAATATTATTATATGGAGCTGGGACTTGGACATTAAAAAAATGTAATTTAAAAAGAATCGAGGCCTTCGAACGGTTATACCGCAGATTATTGAAAATATCATGGACTGATAGAATTACAAATAAAGAAGTACTGGAGAGGGTTGGTAAAGAAACAGAACTAATCACCACTATACAAACCAGAAAACTGGAATACCTAGGCCACGTGATGAGGGGACCAAAATATGAAATTTTGAGACTGATAATACAGGGAAAGATTCAAGGAAGAAGATCTGTTGGCCGAAGGCAGAACTCATGGTTAAAGAATCTACGTGATTGGTACCAATGCAGATCGATTGATTTGTTTAGAGCAGCAAGTTCTAAAATAAAAATAGCTATTATGATTGCCAACCTCCGTAGGGAGACGGCACTCTAAGAAGAATTGCAGATGACAAAACTCTATTACCAATTGGACAAAACCATGAAGAAGCTGCAGAGAGACGACAAACTTCAGTAGACAAAATATAAGATTGGACAAAGAATGGAGATAAAGCTCAATTGAACAAAATCCGCACATGCAAATATTACCAATAAAAAGTTACTTTTACAAATTATGCTACACACCTTCGACTACATTAAGATATGAGACTGTGTTGAAAAGTCGATATAAATATGAGAGATAAGAACTAAATATCAAATTTCGAAAACTCTAATGGAAACTCGGAAAACAGTCTAAATTATCCATCTACAATAAACTATTGATATATAAACAAATAGTTAGATGATAATGAACATATGGCGCACTGCTCTAGTAATACGCTAACAAGAATAAAATAGAAGTAACCTAAACGTTTCAGTCCCACATGGAAAACTAATCGATATCCTAAAACATCAGGACTAGATGGTAAGGATATAAGACTGATCTCAAACTTATGTGTCCAACAAAAAGCAACAGTACGATTAGAAAATGAACTATCCTAAATCTTCACAGTCGAAAAAGGAGTTATGACAGTGTTGCATATTGCCACTGGCATTATTTAACGTATACTCTGAAAACATCTTTAGAGAGGCCTTGGACGAATCAGAAGATGGGATTGCTGTAAATGGTCAACTTATAAACAACATTAGATATGCAGACGATACAGTGTTCCTGGCAGATAGTGCGCAGGGGCTCCAAAGGATGATGGATAACGTTGTAGAAGCTAGAAGCAAGAAGACAAAAACAATGATCGTTAGTAAGAACACCGACATAAACGCTCAAATTACAATTTACGATACACCGTTAGAAAGAGTGGAAAAAATATGCTAATTAGGCTGTAATATTAAGGATACTTGAGATCACAGCTACGAAAAAAAAACTCGTATTGAAAAAGCCAGAAGCTCTTTTAACAGCCTAAGGAAGATTCTCTGCAACTTATCTTTAAGTATCAATATACGCATAAGAATTCTTAGATGTTACGTCTTTAGTGTCCTCCTCTATGGAGTAGAAAGCTGGAGCATTACAGAAGATGTCATAAAACGATTGGAGGACTTTGAAATAAGGTGTTACCGACGAATGTTGAGGGTCTCATATATACACCATGCAAGTAACATAACTATTCTCAAAAGGCTAAGAAAAGACAAACAAATTATTAACACCATAAAAAACAGAAAATTGGCTTACTTAGGCCACATCATGCGTAATGATAAATACCGACTTCTACAGAGCAAGATTGAGGGTAAGAAAGGCCCTGGACATAGACATATATTCTGGCTGGCCAATCTTAGGAAATTGACTGGTCTAACATCAACTGATCTATTTCGAGCTGCTGTGAATAGAATGAGATGGGTCAATGTGGTCGCCAACAACTCTAGACGATAGGCACATTTAGAAGCAACGTTTCAGAACAAAGTGCTGAGGAACAGTAGGGATACTCCATGGTAAACAGTTCCATCCATCGAGATCTAAAACGGAGACAGTTGAAGAGATGATAACGAGATCTTGTAGCAAACATGAACAACGTCTGCTGAGTACATATAGTACAGATTAGTCAATACGCTAAAAAGGGTTAGTATTATTACTGTTTGTAGGTAAACTAGACGCTATAAAAACATGAATAAATTTTCTTTAAATATTTTAAGTGAGAAAATGAATTGCACATTCATATAACTGATCACATTTGTTTTTAAAAAGATTTACCCCCTCCATTGAAACTGGTCATTATAATATGGTTATCGGCAAATCCGAAATTTTTTAGGTAGTAAAAATATCTATTAATTTCTTTATAATTCCGTTCCAGTTTTTAAGAGACCTTCTAGAGCTAAAGGGGGTAGGTTCCGGGAGATATTTTTACATTGTACATTTTCACCCTGTCCACTGTAGTGTAATTTTGTTTTGGAAATTATTAAATACCCCACAATACATTTTCGACAATCAAAATTAGGATTAATAAAAAAACATTTAAAATGCTGTTTCCTGGTTACAAATTTAAAGGTGAGATGATCTCTCGAGAATATTTATTGACAGCAGAATTAAACGATGGAATCAAAATTTCAATAAAGTAAAGGGATACTTTAATATTAAATACTTAGTGAAGCCAAGTTGTGACAAGCAATGTTAACATGCAAGAGATCATACAAGAAACGATTGTTTGCAATGATCTGTATTGTAAAAACAATTCTAGATCCGGTACATATTAGTGAGCGCCATTGTAGTGTGGCCACTAAACTAAAATCTATGTAAAATTAATATTTTAACTTTAAAAAATTCTTTCGACTTACTTTTATTAATTTTTTTAATAAATTCAACGTTAACGACTTACTTGGATAACGATAATATAATAATTAATTTAAAAGCTTACCATGATTTCCTCGTATATCTAGCCAGAGCGTCCGATCTTTCATTCGCGTTTCTTTCAAGATATCCCTGTAATATTTCCATTCAGTTTCATGTTGTTGTGAACCAATGGCGTCTTTGGTTTTAGCATCAGTCAAATCCCCAGAGGCTAGAACTACACTGGGTTGTATCGCTCCTACAGTTAAATCACAGAATTCTCTAAATTCAGTTATTCTATTATGATCCTTAAAGTTACTTAGGTGTATATCCGATATCTAAAAAAAATAAATTTGATTCATAAGCACATTTTAAACTATTTTACAAGTCCCTGGTCCCTAGAAAATCCCAGATTACATTTAGCCCTCGTATCCTATAGAATTTTGTTTTCCGATCCTATATAAGGTTTTAATTTGTGTCTCACAAATTACTCCAGTCGTCGGAGACGAAAATGATACTGAGCCTCTAAAAATCATACGAAGAAGCTGAATCTTGGGATCCTAAAAAAGATGCACAAAAGTTTACCACTTTTATCCCCTACCTTTCGCCTAAAATCCTCCTCGATGAGGGGGGGGGGAAACGGAAAAAAAATCGATTTACCAAAAACATGTACGCCATAGAAAAAAATGTTTCAAATAAAAAATGTAGCTGAGATAATTTTAAACAAAAATGTTAATTGGCACTTCTCCTGTAGAATGAACCATTCTCTCAGAAACAACGGTTGAAGCGATCGGCAATTTTTAATGCCAGTTACGCTCGCGAAATCAATGTTTAATAAAATTTTTATCAGCTCGATGGTAAAAATTCGATATGATTCATTCATGATGTTTCTGCACCCTTGCCACGCTTCAGTTTTGTTTTCATGTATTGGTCTGTTTTCTAGCTTGATTTTTATATTTTGTTTATATTGTTGTATGTATTTTTGAATCCTTCTAGATTTTATCATTCATGTTTAGAATCTATATCCTTTTTTAAATGTTTAAAATTCTTGTTTTTATCCTTTTCGAGTGTGTCTGGTGACTTTCAGGTGCCTTTGTGGCGAAGTTAAAATTATACATTCGATTAAAAAAAACTAACTATGAAAAAAGAAGTAATTTTGGAAATTAGAGCATCAAAATATTTAAAATTCGTTATTTCTCAATCACCAAATTTTTTCATTTTTTTTTGGGCGTGTTTCATGGTATGGAACATCATTCATGTTCCACACCATGCAAGTTAAATGTTTACTTTGTATTTCAGTTCTTAAATTGACGGTACTTTTAATTTTATATTGACGCTTATAAAATCAAAGTACTCGTATTTGCTTCATTGTGGAGTTGCAGCAATCTGCTGATTCCGCTGTCGATTCATCTGTTGTGTCTTAATTTTGCTGTGCAAAAATATTTCGACATAATGGTAGGTCATTGACTAATTCCGTTATTAAATAGACTTCTCGGTTATTTGACACTCAAGAGAATTAAATTTTTCTCAGAAATAAAGTTGGAATCTTAAAAATTTCGTTTCGTTCTGTTTACTACCGTAAACGCAATACATAGAATTAATTGCAGGGAGTATTTTACTTGTAACAATACGATTCATGTAATGCATGTCTCAATGTATAACTTCTTCCAAATAAACACGTTTTGGCATGTTTTAGAAGACATTATATACACTGCGGTTGCTAGTACTCTTTCTATTGACAGACTAAATGATTGAATATCCTTTTGAAATAAAACGAATATACGAATTTCAGTATTTTACATCTTTAAGTATACAGTCAACTTTCGCTAATTCACTCAGTCGATACATTTTTAATGTGAATGAAAACTTATTTTACAAACTAGATCTAATGTATTATCTTTATTATTGTAAGCATAAATAATATATTCTATTGTTACAATGTAAAGTAACCAACAAGGAAACATATTTTCTTACGCGCCGTCATTGATCGAAATTATGATGAACACATGATTTCGGCTACTTTTAACCACTTACGGCGCGTGATTTCGAATCCCTAATTTCATTTAATATTTGCCTGACTATACAGCATTATTGTCCAAAAGATATAACTATCTATTGAGAACTTGATATAATTAAAACAGCGATAGAATCATATTCATTTTTACTCCAAATTAGAAACAGGTATCTATTTAAACAGGATAATATAGTATTAACCAGATTAATCTATATTACAATAAAATATTCACAAATATGTAGCTTTATCCAATATGCTTGGATAATTCTAACTCTGTCCGGGTAATTCTATTTTGTATTATATTTCTTATTAATATATCGAGTATTTGAAATATGTAAATTGTGGCGTTTTTATAGTTTTCATAACCACTTTGCTTTTTTACAACCGTAGAACATCCAGATCAACTAGTGAAAACCAATTGGAGAAATACTATGATAGCAGTTGTGAAAAAAAAAAAGAAATTATACAGCCGACGAATTTGAGCCAGTTTTCCTGGAATCCTTTTTTTCTGACTGAATAATAAAAAGTTTTTCATGTGATTCCTATTAAGTAGATACAATTTGTATACTTTTCAAAGGAAAAGAACTTTCTACGTTAATATAATATTCAATTTAATTGAAGTTATTGTTAAAATACCAAATAAATAAAAGATTAAAAGCACAAGACCGTAACACGCAATGACTGAATAATTTTGTAGATGCGTGCTTTGCTGCTTAATGTCAATAAAATTTTAGCTGAAAAGTATTTTTGTTACCTCTAAAGATTTTCGTTGTCCTTGAAGAAAATATATATATTCCTCGACTTTAGACTGAATTGACGTAGTGCAATATATACTACGTTGTATAAGATCATATAACGTATTCGATTTGAATGAGTTTGCGATTTATAATATTGACAACACCATTTAACAAAACATTATATTTTTTTTACCACAAATTGTTTTTGTACCCTTAAATGTTCACTATACAGTATTAAAAAGGATTCTATTCCGTTCAATAACGCAACGGGGTTTTATTTTTACGAATAAAAATGACGTCATGCTTAGTAATGTAGCACAACAAACTTTGGTGATGTTTGTGAGGCACATAAAATGAACGAGGTCGCGTTGCTTAGGAATTATAAGAGATGTGGACGTGGTTCTTTAGATCATTCTTATATACTTGAAAACAAAAGAAAAACTGAAAAGAAGAAAAACTGAAAAGAAGAAAAATTAGGAAGATGATAATTACTACAGCTAAACCAGACATATGGGTAAACAATACAAAGAAAATAGGTTATCAAAAATGCGCCAAAAAGAAAGGTGCTACTTTGTTTTTTTTGTGGAGAAACTTGAGAATATGAGAATGTTATTAAAAAAAAATAATAAAATAAAATTGAATATTTACCAGAGCCATTATTATATCATGATATATGTAGTTTGTAGCTCTTAATCTACATATAAAAATGTAGTGTTGTATAAAAAAACAACAAATAAAACAATGAACAACAAAAATATATAAAAAGATTACGGAATGTACCCCTTTAAAAAGAAACACTAACACTGCACCACACTGGGTACATAATTGTTCAAAAAAAGTATTAAATAGAACAGGCCTTTTTTTCTTGTACATATCTTGTCCACCATCTTTTGAAATATTCAGCAGTTATTTTATGCATTTCTAGGATAAAAATGATAAAAAACTAACTACGAATTCTTTGCTTTACTTAAAAAATCTAATGTATCACTCCCATACTTCCAGAAGAAAATTTCTACTTGTCCAATGGACTTAACTTGAAATTGTTGTTACTAAGGGCTCAAAGCCCCTGAAAGGTGCAATAACACCGGCACTATTATCCCATTTGAAAGCTTGATCGGTAAAATTGGGATCGGATTTCGGGTTCGGGATTGTTGATAGGATCATTTGAAGCCGATATTCCCCCTCCTTGGAAGTTATCATCGATGAGCGGTACTTCAAATTTCATAAGGGTAACTGCTATGTAAGACTTAAAATCTAATTGTGACATTTTGGTTTTATTTGCCACTATATATATTTTCTACGCATTAACAATAAAACTATCAATCACATTCATAAAAAGGGGCACCACTATTTCTTTCCTTTTACCTTTATTCTGTAATTTGATATGCCGTTATCATGCAAATCAACACCACCTATATGTTGATTTTACTCAGCTATCAATTTTGGCTAAGGAATTAGTTGGATTTTGTTTTCTTTCTTGTCATATCTTTTTGCACCTGCAAGAGGTTCAATGGTACAATTATTTGTTACAACTGTCACTACAGAATTGTCATTCTATCTAACTAACAATACACTTTGTTCAGAATTGTAAGAAAAATTGTAAGTACCACGATCTTGTTTTTTAATATTTTTTACACTTTCCATTGTATCTACTATTACAAGTGCTGTTTTCGCGGATCGTCTCAGTAGCGTAAAATCCTTTTTCTTTTAGCAAACCGAATAGCTTGTAAAATGAGAAAAAGTTATCAAAAAATATGCGATGATTAGATTTTCGTTCAATCACTGATAACAAATCCAGCACAACGTTTTCTCCTAGACCCAACTCGTTTTCATAAGCACTTGTTTTTCCACCATAAGGTAAAATTTTAAATAAATCGCCATTTGAACTACATTCAAACCATAGTTTGAACCCAAACCTATTTGGTCTTCCAAAATATTGCACATCACATTTATGGATAGATTATGAGAAAATACTCTAAACTGCATGTTCTTTTCATTTATCCAATCAAATTAGAATTATTGTACAAACAAAAATGCAAAATCTAAATTTTATTATCTAAATCTGTTAGTCTGTCGAGTTGGTGGCGCCTATTACAGGAAATCCCAACGTCCCGTAAACGCAACATTATTGAAATCGATTAGGTATGCAAAAACCAAAAAAGATTTTAGAAATACTACACACTATCTTTTTTACTGATCAATATAAACTAGCGGACCAACTCGACATCGAGTTTTTTAAATGAAATTTTTATTTTGCGAGAAAAATTAAGAGATCAATACAAACAATATAAGCAAGAATATACATAACATTCATCAATAATAATGCAAGTAAAAAGTGTATTAAATATCATGAAATATTTCGTCGAAAACAATGTTTTTTGTTACAATGTCTCCATTTTCTGAAAACTTTTGCTAGGCACCGGGAGTTATGTAAACTTTTACTTTTTACTTTTTAATAAAAACGAAACCGGAAGTCGACCTCAAAACCGGAATGCAATTTTTAGTTCATCAAATGTCGACATGGATATCATTTAGCAGTTAATTTTGCATGCTGATCACGAATCCGGTGTCAGATTTGCTCTATCTT